AATGGAAATTAGAATATATATGAAATGCATTAATGTCTGTTATCATAAAAAAACGTCGTACTTTTAAATAACAAGTTTTTCGATAAGGGATATAATACATTTTTTTGAAAAAAAAAAAATAAATCAAAGAACTACTTCCCTTTGTTAAATAAAGTACGGTTGGTCGCCGTAGTTATTAGGCTAGATAAAAAATAAAATATGTTGGTTTCTTTTCACCACATTATCTATAAAAAATAAAAAATAAAATAAATTCTCAGAAACTAAACGAATGGCGAAACCATTAAAAATAAATACCAATAAAAACTTTTACTTGAAATAATTCATAAAATAAAAACACAAGCATTTATATTTTTGTAGAAATTAAAATTTAATTCGTATATTTCAACCACTTTTTTCTAAATAAATTAATTTAACCTAATTTTTGATTAAGGGTATACAAGCCCAATATTGTTAATATAATAAATTGTTATGCGGTAACTTGAAAACCCTTTTAACTTTACCCACACAAAATCAGACTTTCAGCCTCGTAAAGTTGGTATTGAGTTATTCGGAATTTGGTAAATTTACGAAAAAAATAAAAAATACTAAAGATTACCGAAAACCACATTACGCCATTAACGAGTTTGGGCTGAATACCCTTATTAATTCACAATTATTTATTTTTGGTTTTGTTTTAAGTTTTTTGGTATCAAGATTGCATTATATTTGTATGTGTTTATGGCTGCTAAGTGTTTTTGTTTAAATTGTGTTTTTTATGTTTTTGTGTTTTAATTTTATTTGCGCTAAATTTTTTCGCTACTTGACTAGGCAAATTATTTATTTTAATAAATACATAAATACTAACAAATACATTAACATACATTTTTTTTAACTAACTGTGTACTTAAGTTAAGTATATATATATATATTTTTATAAAAAACAAATCATACATAATTACAATAATACAATCGTATAATTCATGCATACATACATAAGTACAGTACATAGCTAATTTGTAATTATTTCATAGTATTAAATAATTTCATTGATAATACAATTTTTATATTTTTTTTTTTAACTAAAACCACATATATTTACAAAATGCTTTCGATGTAAAAAATTCATTTGTTTTTGTTGTTGTGGCTTATTTTGGTTGTTGTTGTTGTTGTTGTTGTTGTTGTGGTCATTCTACTTTCATTGCTACATTTGCAATTAATTATGTGAGAGAAACTTTCGCCGTTAACAAATTAAAATTTTTGTTTAAATTTTAGTGAAATTAAAACTTTCACTAAGGCATACAAAATACATATAACAACAACAAAAAATGTCGCAATAACCAACAGTTTTTTTTTTGACTCATTAGTTAAAACAAATTCGAAACGAATATACATACATACTTACATACGACAATTTAATTTATAACCAGTTATTTCGGAATTTTTTAACATTTTTATTTTAAAAACTAAGCAACATAAATTTTAATCGTAAATAATTATTGGAATTATAAGATTTCGGTTTCGTTTCATTTGTTAATACTATATACATGGTGGAATGGTACTTTAACAAAAAACAAACTAAATAAAAGAAAAATTATTCTGCAATTTTATAGAGCTTGAGGTTATTATTTATGAAAATTTTTGTGCTAAAATCCCAACTTGAATTTTCAAATGACTATCGAAAATAGTTTTAAAAATGGATTTAAATATTTTTTTCTTTTTTGGATCTGAAAACAGTAAGCAATGAACGTTAGAAAAAAATCAGAGATGTTTTTCGGTTTTTGCGACTACGGAAATGGATTCCTTCGCACAATAACAACAAAAATATATGCTGGAAACTTTTTCAAAAAATTCACTGCAAACTGTTTTCAGGTCAAAAGAAAGGAATAAATTAAAAAATGTTACTTTCGATCGTTCTTTCAGGTCAAAAAAGGAACACAATTTTTTAGGGGATTTTTTTTTATACAGAAAAAGTATTTTTACTGAATTCTCCATTCCTAAAATTTTAAATTGCTGTTCAATTAATTTCGCCGATTGTTCTCGTGCTCGCAATTTTGATTTTTTTCGCAACAAAAATCATTTTCCACACTGTGCGGCCTCAAGCTCTAATAGACTTAAGAATAAAAATTCTTGCTAGGCCACAAAAAAAAATGTATTGAGATCTTTAGAAAGGCGATTCCCTAAATGAAAGGATTTAAATTTTCAAATGTGATGCTCATATTTTTTGGTATTTGGAGGTGGCTAATAAAGTCCTATATAATACAACGAAGTCATTAATAGAATTGTTCCGCAGGCAGCTGATGTCTTCAGGAGTGTTGATGAAATACGTGCCGAGTTGTTAATCTGGCGAGCCTGAGTGTAGCGAATGCCGGGAAACTGAGGTAAACAGCTGTAGCATATATGTGAGTACACCTGCAAGAACCGACTACTGGCACTTAGTTAGCTGTGGAAGCCCCCTTTACTGTGCACGGTCAAAAATGGGCCAGAGGAATCTTGAAACTTTGCACGTCGGCGTTTTTTCCCAGCGCTCGCTGAGTCAACTGTAAGCGCATCTATCAAGAAGTAGGCCACAAGTTGTCAAAATAATTCCAGTGTCCTCCCTGTCTGAGGTGTTGACCTACAGGGTTCCCTGCCTAGCCCATTTCTTAGGCCTGGAATTTTCCGTGATGTTTCAAGGCGATTGGGAGATTTCCGGCATTCCCCGACCAATTTCGATCATACCGTGATCGATTCCAGTGCCCTAATTGCTGCTTGGCTACCAGAGTAGATATTTACACTTCTATTCGGCACACAATTGTGCATAGCCAAACGGCTGCCGCCTAGCATCGATCCATCGATAAAAGTATTTATTGGATCCCTACTCCAGCGCCTACAATTCTCACATTCGCCCCTTTGAGGGATGCGTGTGGAAAAGATTTCGTTCGGGGCCAACCACGGAAAGCTCCGAGCCATTTCTGCTGGTTTGGCAATCGAAGCTTTTAAGAATTGTGAAGTGCTCGTTCATCGAATTGAAATAAAACCCCGAGCTTTTAAGCCTAATTGCGGAGGGAACTCGGCAACTTTGCCCACAATGTCAACAGGGGCGAGATTGAGCTTAGCCTTCACCTTACCAACACCAACATTTTCTAAAAGAAATTAAATGATCTCGAATTTTTATATTATTGATTCTTTGGAGGAATATTATTCAGAAATTACTAACCTAACCTAATAAAAAATGGACCAACCACATGTCTACGACCAATACATTACCATAATGATAGAAAATACTCATTATCCAGGCTTCTAGAATTTCAAAAAAAAAATTAAAATTATCGGGCCGTTAAGCTTTAATCCCTAGCGGCCATTCTATTTTTATGGGAAAGCTAATTAAATACAGGGCAACCCACGTATAAGTTTGTGTGTATTTCTTTGATTGCATTGCAGAATTGGTTCTATTTGAAAAAGATAAAATTTTCTTTTAAATTTAAACAGATTTCAACAAATTGTAAAAGTCCGCAAACTAAAGATGTATTAAAAAATTTCTGGCGATATATTTTAACATCAATATTGATTTCTCCGTTACATCGAAATATTTAGCCTCCCTATACCCGTTGGCAGTGGTGGCGGAAAAGGAATGTCTCCTCTGAGTTGAATATGCCTTACATGTAATTAGGGACTACGCTGATTCGCGCTAGTTTACGAGAAGAGGAAACAACTGAAGTGCCAAAGACTTTTAAATAGCAATAAATAATAACTTTATTTTTAAATAAAGGCACCTTTTTTATAAAAAAAAAAACAACTAATTCAAATTCTAAGTGCCGTTTTCTCAAGTACATAGGTATTAAAACTTATCTGCCTTTCAAACATATTTTTTATAACAAACTTTTTTGATTAAAGGTCTGATAAATTTTAAAACCTACTTGAGAAAACGGCCCTACATCTTTCTAATTTATTAATTAAAAAAATAGATATAACGTACCACTCGCACCTTGTATTTACATACATAAATACATATGTATCTACATATGTCAAAGGCGTATTGCAAAAACGTTATCTACGTAGAATTCTAAGAAAACTTCCCCAAGAAACTATGGGTCTAAAATCCAGTTCCAGCCGAGAGACATAAAAATATATGCAGTGGTTTCCAAATACTTCAAACTGAAATCTTTATGCCCGTCTGCGCGGACTAGGTTTTAATTTTAGAACCCTAGTTCCTTTGGGTAATTTTTTTTTAATTTTGCGTTGATTTTGTTTTTGCTATACCCCTTTCGCATTTTTTTTTCACCCGAACAATTTGACCCACCCTAATGTATATGTCTAACTTCATGTGGCTTCTTTCATTGTGCATTTGCACGTGTGTATCTGCAATTTTTGTTTCACTCACACACACGGCGCCTAAAACTATGCTGCCACAAGGCGCATTGCCAGTATTTGCACGCATATTTGATTATTCTAACTTTTTTTTTGTATTTTTGCAATTTATTTTCGCTTTTTTTTTTAACAGCCGCCCTGACTAGATTTTGTCTACACACACTTACGTACATACTTACAAACATATAATCTCGCTTAGATTGATGTCTGACGCATTTTTACATGCATTTCAACTAATTTACTTGTTCATGTGTTACGAGCACATTTATAAAATACTTTTTTTTATAAATTTTAAATCTTTTTTTTTTATACCACTTTCGGCTTCCAAGCGTGAGTTCTAGCCATTTTAGTTGTGTTTAACATCAATTTGTGCGCATACAATTCGTTTTAATGTTTCACTTGTTTGCTTTGCTTTGCTTTGTGTTTCTTCTAAACCCAATTTTCCTACACTTTCTAAGTCCCCCAAATCGCTTTGTGCTTTTTTCCTGTTACTCTGCCTAGTTCTGTTGCTCTACAGTTTGTGCTTTATTACTGTTTTTTACTTAGCCGATTGCTGCAATTTTTATTTATTTTTTTAAGGAATTATGTATTGCTTCTTTTTTGTGTTTGTTTATCTTATTTTTTTTTTTTGTGTTCATTATTACTATCTGCTTTTTATGAACTTAAAAATTTAGTAAAAAATGGTTGTATGTATTTAAATCACTCTCTGCATGCTTTCTTGGCGCCTATCTAAAGCAACAGTTCTTAAGTAATGATCGACTAGAAATTCCTACAAGCGAGAGAGAGTATGCTGCATAAACCAGTAAGTATGTAAGTAAATAAGTATCCAAATACATAAGCACATTAGTCAAAGTAAGTGCATGTGGTAAGTATTTTCGCTTGACGCTTACAAGCTAGTAGGAAACTAAAAACTGTAGCAAACTTTTCTCCTTAAGAATACATACATACATAAATATATATATTGTTGCTGTTGTTGTTCTTGCTATTATAACCTCTTTATCTTTGCTGCTGCTGTAGTAGAACCTTAGATCATCTGCTTAGACATTTAAGTGCTTAATGCTTAATGCTTTTACGCTTAGTCCTTAAACTTGTCTAGTGCTAGAGCTTAGGTGCTACTTAAATTTAATTGTTGCATTCCGCAAGCCTTTTGCGAACACACTTTATTGTTTGTTTGTTTGTTGGTTGATTGGTTTGCTGATCTGCTGATTTGTTTGCGGTTTACAATTTTTGCTTACTACTTTTTCGTTTTTTCACTTCATTTTGACACTTCCACTTCCACTTACTTCACTTCCCCCAGCTTTAAACTAAAGCTTACCATCTGTGCCTATTTTTATTATTTATTGTTTTTTGTGAAATGCTTTGGTTTTTTCTCCCCCCCCCCAACTGTTGACTTTCGCTGGTTCAGCAAACGCTTGCTTGCCACCTTCTTAAGTGGGACTGTCTGTTGTGGAAGCCGCTGCAGATAAGCTGCCATCTTGTAATTGTGCCAGCGCTTTGAATTTCTGCGAGTTGAGGAATCTATCGTAAACAAGCATATAGCATATATGAGTCTATTGATAATATATATGTATGTATGTATGTATGTACCTTGGATATGAGTCTCGGTGCATGAGCGTGTAGATTTGTATTTGCGCCTCGTCAAAGGTATGCGTTGTCGGTTCGACCATATTACGATTGACGATCTCACGTACGCGCGAATCCAGCGACACTTCACGTGGCGACAATATCGAAATGTAGTCCTCATAGATGAGACGCGCTTTCTCTTCGATCGCCTCAGAACTATTTTCTTTTTTCAACTCTTCGCAGGCGAGCCAAAATAGGATATTCTCTTCGCTGAATTCGCTGCGTAGGAAGTCACGAAACACTTTGCGCCCAGCTGTAAAGGTAAATATTGAAAGATTAAAATATATGATAATTTTAAAATTAATATTTAGAAATAAGAGTGCCAATTACTATGGAAATTCGAACGGTTTATTAATGTTTTTAAACCATGGCTCACAATTTCTCTGCAGATAATGTTTTTTGCAAAAAATGTTTGATAGATAAATGCTCCACGCCTGAAGCATTTTCCAGATAATTTTCAAATCATAAAAGCTCTCCGTGAAAAATCAAAAACAAAAAGAAACAAAAACACGAAGCCAAAGAATGAGTAAAATGTAAAAAATCTTCTTAACAAATAACTTATAAAAGTGAAAATTGGTTCCCAAAAGTCCCGAAAAAAAAATGTTGACATCTTATGAAAAATAAAAAAACACGAAGAATCCAGAAATTTCCCGAAAAATGCGGATAATTCAGAGAAAATCAGAACGGGTTCCGAAAAAATTAGAAAAATTCCTAAAGTCCTGAAAAAATTTTAAAATTTCCCAAATAATCTTGAAGAATCCATAGAATAAAATACACGAAGAAAACTTCCAATAGTTCTGAAAGGTCGCAGAAAATCTTGACAATTCTCGAAAACCGCACTGATTCCGAAAAATTCGGAGAAGTTCCCAAAGTCCTGAATAAATTTTGAAATGTCCCAAAAAATCTTGAAGAATCCAGAGGATAAAATACACGAAGAAAACTTCCAATAGTTCTGAACGGCCCCAGAAAATCTTGAAAATTCTCGAAAAATCAAAAAGCTCTTCACCTAAGTAAGATCTCGAAAAATCACAAAGTGTTCAAAAAAACAGGTAGATCCCGAAAAAATCTGAAAGCTTCTGAAAAATGAAACATGGAGAATAATCCCTAAAAAATTCTAAACAGAACCCATAAAATCCTAAAACACACGAAGAATTCTGAAAAAATATCATACAAGACCGGAAGAAAATCCCGAAAATCAAAGCACGAACAAAACTTTAGAAAAATCTGGAAAGTTTTCTAAAAAGTCCCTAAAAATCTTAAAGATATTGGGTACAAGCACAGAGCACTTCACTTTTGTAAAGAAGCCTCGAAAAATCCCGAATTCCCAATTTCGGGGAAAAAATCCAAATAAGTCCTCAAAAATTCTGAAGGATGCCAAAAATTAAACGTAAAGAACCGAGAAAAACCTCGGGAAAATCCAGAAATATATGCAAAAATAAAACAAAAAAAATCACTAAAAAGTCCTGAAAAAATTCAAACAGATACTGGAAAAATCCCAAAAAAAATGGTAACAAGTAAAATACAAAGAACACCGTAAAAAATCACGAAAATACAAACACGAAGAAAACTTTCGAAAAATCATGTACATTTTCGAAAAAAATTCCAGAAAATCTTCAAAATTCTCGTTAAACATAAACGGTTCATTTTCCATTAAAAAAAAAACACAAACAAAAAATTAAAAATCTTGCAAATATTTTTGCGCGTAAAAATCGGTATTTTTTGCTCAAAATAATAAAAGCACATTTTTTTAAGTAATGAGGATTTCAGAATTACGTGTATCTTTCTTCTGCTGCTCTCCTTCTGCAATCACGCTCTATCTATTTATCTCAAAACTACCTGTTCAAAAGCTGGAGCTACTGATCTATTTAGGTGAAATTTCGCGAGACTATTGTCGGCAGGGTGACCTCAGAAGAAGAATGGTGGAAGTGGTCGAAAAAGTATGGGACAATTTTTTAACGTTTGATTGAATGACGTTTGCGCTTTACCAACCTAAGTAAGTCATTAACAACAAGTTTTTCTACTCTTCAAAACAGCTTTAAAACGTTCACCAAATAATGTAGCAAACGCAATACATACATGTGAGTATTTCATTTCTTGTTTTTCGTACTGAGTTAAGGAGAAGTTAATTGCGGTTAAACGCCCTTGGCTGCATGAAATGTAAATCTCTACCAGCTGGTGCCGCATTACAAACGGGAAATAATGAAGAAGAAGAACCATCTCAATGACAGGTGAGTAAACTATGCTAATAGAGTTGTTGAAAGAAAGTGACATCGCGTGTTTACATTGTGCTTTTACTATTTACATACTAGTTGTAGTGAAAGATTTATAGCTGAGCGCCACATAAAGGAAAAGTAAATATAAATATAAAAGTAAGGTAAAATGTTTAATAAGCACGCATACGAATGCGCACAAACGATGTAACTAAGTAAGGAGCACGATTTCTTATACTAAATATAGTCTGCATAAGTAAGTGTAACCATCGCACTCTCTTTTTATTTCAAGGCACATGCAACCAATATACTAAGTACGTGGCCACAGCCGCAAGGACCAAGAGCAAAAGCTAGTTGACAACCAAACCAAACACAAATGTCAACAAATTTGCACCAAATGCCATTAAATATCGCTAAATTTGACCAACCCCAAACAAATGAAACGAGCAAAGCAGCAAAAAGCTCGACAGGTAGGCATCAAACCAAAACGAAAAAAATATATATAAATAACTGGCCAGCAAATTACTACAAAGAAAACTAACTGCATATTTATGTATCTGCAATCGGATACTACTATTGATTTAACATCTCAAACTTAGTGAAAATTCGTTTACAGTCTGGTGGGAACGGCAAAAAAAAGGCAATTACATTGCAATTGTTGAAGTGTTGTCACAGTAAGCTATTCGGTTTTCGGCTTTCACCTCACTCACTGACACACTTTCTGCTTTATTTATTTTTGTTGACATATCGATATTATGAATATATGTATGTATTTCAAATCAAAGATAGGCTCTTTGAATACCAAATTGTATGTCAATAACAATAAATAATAAATTTAGGCTCTTAGAAGTCACCTCATTGACATTTATTAAGGTCATGAAAGGTTAAGGCTTTGGTGATAGCACAATACATTTCCAAAAATTAACCTTCAATTATAGGCATTTTAACTCATTCTTCAAACTTTTACGGTATAAAGAGAATTATTGCAGTACTTTGGCCAGAGGTTACTCATACGCCAAGGCATACCACTAATCTGTTTATTTCAATTATGGGTTAAATAATAAATAAGCAAGTACAGGCTAATAGCGATCCGAAAACGTCGCCGCGAGTTTAGCTGACTTAATTGTAAATATATACGTTGTATAAAAAGCGTTAAGTATAATTAGGGGATTCACAAGACGTGTTAACCGTCGTAAAATCTTAAGGTTAACATCTTTTTTAATTAAAATGGTTTTAGGGGATTTCTAACTAAACCGAAATTCTTTTAAACTGATAAAGAATATATAATTAGCCAACCCCCAACCATTTTAACCGCTATTTTACATAAACAAGTGTTAAGCTTAAGATTTTACGACGGTTAACACGTCTTGTGAATCCCCTAAATATATTTTCGGGGTGAATGCGGTAATTGTAAAACCGTTTAGATACGATATAATTAGTATCGTAAACAATCAAATCATTTTGTCCACTTAAAGTAGCTCGACAGGCTTTTTGGTAACGAGCAGTTTTTTCCGACTTTTTTTTTGTCAGCTTAAACCCAACCGGAAGGCGCTCGTAACACCAAACATAAATATAATAAGAGAGCTCCAAACTTTCAGGCTTTCCTATTCATCCATATTTCAGAAAAGAACATGCAAAAAAGAACTATGTCTCCCAAATAATTCTATTCCGGTAACCATGGCTTATCTGTGGTATTAAGTGCATTTTCTGTGGTAACATATTTCCAATTAGAGTGAGAGAAATATATAATAATCGGTTGAATATGCGATGCTTAGAAAGCTCTGCTCTCAAGATGTACTTATGATAGAAATCTCGTATTGCAGTCTCGGTTTACCTGTCATATCTTTTGATATTCTCCCTTCTTCGATGGAGATTGTAGGCATCATTCAACACTACGTGAAAATGTTGGTCACGTGTGAAAAATCTACTCATATTTCGTCCTATAGATTGGGAATACATAATCCTGGTAACAAACACATTTTTTTACCAGCGAAAGACAAGAAGTGATGGAGCTTTCTTTATTCAAAGAATTAATGGCGGGCCACATCTTGGAAAAGGAACTACTCTCTACCTTATCAATTACCTGGAAAGGCGGGAGGGGAAAAGTTTAGGTTGCTCCAGAAAACGATCCATAAATTAAAAAGCTAAAGATTATTTTGATTGGATATTTATAGAGAGTATGTCTGCTGAGAAGCAGCAGGTGTTTCCTGAGAAGTGCAGACAGGGTGGTGATGAAATTCCTTTTCGGACAGAGAAGGCACTACAAGACTGATTACGGTACACCATCCATGGGGGATGAAAGATGGTCACCACAGCCATCGTCATGATCTACATTACGTGCATCTTGTTAGAAGGTTGAGGATGGTACAGAGCATTTTTTCTGCAGAAGGCTGGCTTTAGACAGACTGAGATGGTGCATTTTTTGGGTCGAATTTATTTGAGAATAGAAGAGATACAATTTCATTCCCTTGACAAACTACTAAGCTTTATAAAATAGTCTTGTAATTTTGCAGAGATGTATGTAGTTATTCCCGCAGCCATCTGTGCTATCGTATCCTCTTAATCCTTGCTCCATAGCTTAAGTAGAAAGGACAACTAAGTAGAAAAAAGGACAGCTATGCCTGCTATGCGAAATTTTACTGCCTAGAAAATGAGCACATATCGCACACCGTCTTCAAAAGAGTGACAACTCAAAATTTGGCATTTTTGAAATTACGCGCTAAAAATGTACACAGGGCTCTTATTTACCAGCAAAATCTGGAGCAAATATTGGCTACAATTCGTTATAAAAACCTAAGCCCTTGCCCATATTATTAGCATGTGCTACGAAATAGTTTTTCGCATTTTCTGGCGATTTTCTCCTTGCCATCTCTTTACAATGCAGTTGCCATAAATGTCCCTGTACCCGTACAAGAGTCCAAAGAACATTTAGTTGCCAGCAGACTGAGAGTCCTGAGGCATTGTATTGCTATTTTGGACGTTGTTCCGTTGGATTTTAATGATTTAATAGTCGCTTTGCTATGAAAGTATGTAGTGATGCGCCATTCTGGAGGTTCGGAAGCGGAATGATTTTAGAAAGCACTACTTCATAACATGGTTAAAGAATTAATTTAAAAATATACTATCTCAATATAATTTCGGAAATCTGAAATAGGGCGTTTTCGAATCATCATCCGAGATAGGACGAGCTTTCACTGAACTATCGATGTGTTCTTTGCATGTCTATGGCTAAAAAATCTGAGCAGCAAACTCAACGAAACTCTCGGTAACATTGCCAAGCCCGAAATAGTAGTTCCAATGATACTGAAGAACCGTGATGCATGAAATGATATTATTAATGCCGCAGCGAAAAAATGATGATCGAAAAATACCAATAGTGATGAGGCTTCATCAGCTTAAAAGGATGAGCCTAACAAGTGGAAAAGCGGAAATAAAATTTTGTAAATGGACGAAACTCGAATTAGAAGCTAAATTTTGAATAGTGCCTGAATAATTCAGTGGGAGGGAGAACCAGGATGTATGCACGAATTTATATAATACAAAATATTTACTAGTTCAAAAAGTGGTGGGCAGACACTGTGGCTAATGGTAACCATTAGTTACCACCAGCAGTGTCCAGGCTCAGGAAGATGCATCAGACCAGGCCGAGCATAATATGAAGTGCCATCGAATTATAACTTAAAACAATTAAATTATATGGCAATTGAGAAGTGTATGTGCAAAAATTTTATCAATTTCATAAAGGGAATTTTTGCACATGCAGCAGTGCATAGCATGCACTTAGGCGCTTGGTGTTAGTAGTCGCGCCAAAACAGTAGGCGGAACCAACTTGATAACAATAAATGTAGAGCAGAATATTCAAACCACCTATAGACAAAGTACTAAGAAAACATTTAAAAAAAATCAGAGGTTTAGCGTTCTAAAATCTTACACTGAAGGGGTTCAGGCTTTTAATACTTTCTCCCTCGAAAACGATAACTATCTGAAGAGCAACAAACTCTTTACACAGACATCTACGAATATCTTAATATTGCTTATCAACATCTTCGAGAAAATTCCTGTAATTTTTAAATAAAAGGAAAACGTAGTCAGTCAGTCATTTGAACTTAATTCTTATGTGTAGGTCAAAAACACGCCTTAGGTTGTTAAGCTCCTTTTAAGGCCACCTGTGAGTTTTTCACCTGACCACTTACTTCGCTTAATTTTGTATCGCCACGATATTACTTTTATCTACTCTTAAATAAATAAATTTGTCTACTCACCCGCATTTTTCATTAGCAAATCGAAGTTTTTGCCCCAACTTCTTATCTCCTCCAGACTGGGCCTGTGAGTTGTGCAAAATTTAAAAAACAAGGATAATTATGAGTGCATATTAAAATAATATTGATATTTATACTCACTGTTCACCGTCCAGTAGCAGATCCATGCTCGCTGGATCACGTCTTGTTGGTGCATTGTCTTCCGCATTTTTTATTGCCAAACTGGAAGGAAGAAATTGAAATCACCAAAAATTAATACAGCACATATATATATTTACAGACTAAACTATTGTGTATTAAACTCCTCTTATTATCTTTTTATTTATATCAAAATATATCTACAATAGCATTTATTCATATTTTATCTGCCCACAAATTCAACAAATTTTCCTGTCTGAAAAAGCTCATTCCGTATGTGACCAGCTGTTTGGTTACTTAGCATAAAACTAAATCACAGATATCGTCTGCAGTGACTGACTGACTGCTGTATAAATTCATTGTGAATTTAATTAGAATTGGAGAATGGGAACAGCTGTCGCGGGTGAGCGATATGGCCGGTAGTGTTTGTATGCTTTTAAAACATTTCTGCATGAATGTTTGAAATGGCTGGAGTTGTTATTAAAATAAAAAATAAAAATACATAGAAGCACTTGTATGCGTGTATGCATTTTGTAATTACCCTCCTGTGTAAAAGTGGATCGTAAAAGTTAACGATAAGCACAAACACTCGTATCTAGCTTTCATGCAAATACAAACCAGAAATATACAATTTTTGTTGCATGTACTTTAGAGCGTGTCAGAACACTGAGTCTGAAATATTTTTGCAAGGCAATTAAAAAAAACAAAATTTTGGCTTTTCACATTTGTCCAGGTTCGCCTTTTTACATTTTTCGTCATATCTTTTTCATATGATATATCGATGTACTTATTTGTCGCGTGGAGACAATCTTTTTGTTTCAAAGTTCAAAGTACCCCAAGTACCCTGTTCTAGTACTTACCCACCAGATCTCCGTTCTTATCACCCTAACAAACCACCCACCCTAATGTCAGTAAATTAAAGCTCACCAAAAATGATTAAACTTTTGCTCAGGAGGTATTTCGAGTATTTTATAAGAACTATTAAAAAAAGTATTGCCATGGTTCGGCCAAAGAAACATTTTTTTTTTTTAATTCCCATGCAAAACTACTTTAGACCTTTTAGAACTTTTGTTTGCTTGTAAGGTGGTACGGTCTAATGTACATGTACTTTTTTATACATATGTATGTGCATACAAACACAAGTGCGGAAAACTAAATGTGAAAGTGGATTTTCATGTATCTTTTATTAACTTATTTAGTTAAATTTACTTTATTTTCCTCGTTCGCGTGCAAAACTTATTAATTGCTTTTTTTTTTGGGAAATATAATTTTGCAATTTAATATTTTTTTCTTCATTAGGTAAGACTAGGTGGGACTGGGTTAAAGTGATAGTACAAGGTAAGGCTGGCATATTCCACCATAAACAGTTTTCCTTTATGAATAGTGTCTGCTAAGCTTTTTGCGGTCAAAACAAGATTTCAGCAGTTTAATGAGGTAAAGTTTTTAGACTCGGTCTTGAAAGATGTGAGCAACTTTAAAGAAATGGTTTTGGTTGGATTTTTTTATCTTATTATTTTTCAAACAGCGGAAGCAGCGAAGATCTCATTATAAGTAGTATCTTGTCAAAATACTAACCAGAATTAAAGTATGTATTGTGGCTTTGCGAGCCCAAGAAGCTCCATTGATCATTCTCGTTTCGCTGTGGGGCAGAAATATCCTACACCTGTTCTTGTTCTAGCTCAGTATTCGCTGAGAGCTAACATGAGACCTATCTGTCCAAGAGTAGTTTAGAGGTTTTCAAACATGCTCACACCCTCTCTCTTCCCTATTAGATTGTCTCAAGAGTACTTTTCATGGCCAACCGATTCCCTGTGCACATTTAAGGCAATGTAATATCCATATAAGTCTAACAAGAAAATAATTAGTTACTTTCTCAATAGCAGCGAAATGCCTACACTACAGTGATCCGGAAGCCTAAATTCGGGTTGAGCTCTTCCAACTACTGTTTCCCATCCTCTCAACTTTGTTGAGGCTATGTGTAGAGAAAGGACTGATTTCGACTAGACTATCAGAACAAAAATCTTAGATATCTAGAAGCATCGACTCCAATATCACGAGACCCAATCTCCAAGGTCTGAACGCAGCCGATGCCGGAACGGGATTAACTTTGGTATCGTCAGAAGCTAGTGCGAAGTGCCCCCCTTATTCTACCGAAGGTGACTCGCTGTACAAACCACAGTGTCTTAACTAAATAAGTGTCATGTATTTTGTCACGAATTTCCTACATACAGAATGAAAAATGCCGAAGAAGATGGGACTACATCGGAACCACTTAGCTACTCAACAGCTCTTAGAAGGGATGACGGAAATTTCTTGCCAAAAAACATAGTACACAGTAGTGCCGGAAGCATCCAACCGAGAAAGAATTAACTTAGTCTAAAATAGCTTTGTATATCGGGCAAGGCCAAAAGGCTTAGCAGCGCTTTTAGAGAGCCAGTAAATAACTGTGGGAAAGAAGTCCCAACTCTTATCAATTTCTTAAAGTAAATTGAGCTAAATACTCAAAGCAACCGGATAAATTTGGTGTTAAAAGTCATTCGTTGGAATTCGGTGCACATTTCGTTCTCTGTTTGTATAACGACGAAACGGCCGCACCTCTTCGACCATTACTTATCGCGGGTGGAAATTTTCCGCAACTTACGCTGCACTGTATTGCAGCCTCAAAAAGCGACATTGCTACAAGCAGGATGGAAATATTGTTAGAAACCTTTAAGTGAAATAGCTGCAATTTTCGGGAACTTCGAGTTGTGCATTCAGCGTATTGTCGAAAATTTTATCTATAGCCGATAATTACTTCTATAACTGCTCTTGATGTTTCCACAGGATTGTATTGATGCGTCGGCCCTGCACTGTAAACTCTACTGACCCTGATTTCCTTCCAATGCTTCTGCCTTTTCTACCGGTATAGGTAGACTTATCTTAAGCATCCACAGATGCATTTTTTTCTATTGCAGAATTTGGCTTCATTTCTATTTTCACAAAATGCTTACCGTTTAACAAAAGTGCTAGGTCAGCAGCGAAAGCTGCAAACTTTCCTTGTGGAGGGAGAAATATATGAAAAATATCGGTGAAATTATGTTCAGCTATTCGCTCACTTCGGCATTGCACAGAAATGTTCGAATCGAGCAATAGCTCCGAACAATTTTCAGAATGTAAGCAAAAAAAGGCCCAGCATTATTTTATTTCAGCTAGCCGAATTGAAGACATTTTAATTGTGATTCCGAACTGCCGACACCACTCAAGTTGGCACATCTCGTGTTGAATGACCTTTACGAAAACCGAATTGAGTTCATTTGTTCAGGAATGTTGAAGAATCCTATGACCTTATTTCTAGCAAATTAGGAATCTACACTAGTACTACTACTACTACTACTACAGTAGAATCCTTTCATAAAAACACTTTTGAGGTTAGTCCTCTTACAAATTGACGATAATGACAGCATCAGGTTGACTTTTCGATACACATACCAAATATCGCGTTTATTTTGACCATCGCTTAAGATATCATAAAAATCATAGAATAATGATTACTTTTATCAAAAAGATAACAATAAAATTAAGTGACCATTACAAATAATCGTAAAAATATAAATACAAAAATAACGTTTTTGCAGTGATTTTAAAGTAAGCCTTCATAATAACCGTTTTGTAGCCGATGTAATTTAATGATCTAAAATAAAAAAATAAATAAATAAATAAATCTGAAAATAACGCTCTAATTATCGGAAAATTAAAAAAAAAAATAACAATTAAAAATCATAGAATAATGATTATTTTTATCGAAAAAAATATCAAAAACTGATTAAAAATTATCGTAAAAACATAAGTAAAAAATAACGATTTTACAATTATTTTAAAGTAAACATTTTTTTATGGTTCCTGTAAAAACCCGATATTTAAAATCTGCGCCGGATATATAAAATTCGGTTTTCCCAAACGTTTACTTCTTTGCTTGTTTTTATTATTTTTCCATATAACAATCACATCGCATTGAGTGTTGAGCGTACTTCTGCTATTTAGATACAAACAAGTTTATTTTTATACTCTTATCATTCTCAACACGTTTTCCCTAGATTTCGGCCTATTTATATTTACTTGTTTGTGTTTTTTGTTTTTGTTTGCTCTGTACCCACTTTTTTCAACATCATCAACACCAGTCATATGTGTTGTTTTCTTCTTTGTGACAGAAGTTTTGTTTTTATAGATAAGAATTTATCTATAATTTCATCGATTTGTCTGACTTAGTGACTAGTATGCTACCAATGCCAAAATCGATAAACAAAAACAAACCAAAAGCGTCTATTTTTACATTTATTTTTAACCGCATTGATTTTTGCCTTGAACTGCAGTCAAAAGAATTCCTTGTTAGTGTTTTTTTTTATACATATTTTGCAAATAAAAACTATTTTTATTCGCATTAATTATTCCCGTCACCTGCGCGTCGGTAATACATACCTCTGTTTCAATTTTTTTATCAAACTACGCCAGCGTTCACTCATAACGACTGCCACAGGTATCACCAAAAAAAAAACACTGCCAGCGAGCTCTCACAGGGACATGCAGTTCGATTTTTTGGTCACACTATTAAAAATGTTTTCTTTTCGTTTCATTGCTTTTCCTTGCTGTTCGAGTTCATCAATCATTTGACGCATTAACACACTGACTGCTTCCTGCAGTCAAGCATATGCACAGCACTATTACTAAGCTATACTATTGTTTGTTGTTGCCAATCATTAAAGCATTACACTCAACAATCACTGAGCGAGCACAAGAAATCATTTATCAAACCTTGACCACCACCACAAGCGCCCAATGGCAAATCTATTATTAATTATATACGACTAGTTACTCATACGCCCCGTCGCCCAAATATTTCAACAGTATTTTGTTGGTTGAACTGCATAATTAGTAGCCAACTTGGCTGCCACAGACCGCACAGTTCCCAATCGACAGTCGGCCTTTTGACTGTGACGCGCTTAATGGTGTGCCGCATACAAATTGGTCCGCACCAAACAAAATGCGCCACAACAACAACCAACAATAACAATGGCGACTACGAGGAAGACGTGGCAACGGCGGCGGTA